CAGTGGCCCACCGTTTTATCCTGCCCACCGACCTTCTGCTTCAGCGGACCTGCTGTTAGGGGGTATGGATTTACTTAAAAGGTGAAAGCAAGAGATTAGCATAGGGTATGTGTTTTCTTATAGCTAATTATTCAGTGAGTTTCCCTTCAACACAACCTCCACCAGATACATGACGCTTGGCAGGTATGACTTTCAGTGTTTTCTGTCGATAAGATTTTGTAATTAGGCCTGTCATAATTGTCAGCACCACGCCGATGGGCTCTTAATCCGGTCCTGCCTTGAGTAACCTTTAAGTGTTGTAAAGTATGTATTTCATGTATCACAAAAAACACATAGTATTCTTAAACAGAAAGAAATAAAAGTGGGTATTGCGGCCAGGCATAAATGTAACAGGCTGCCTTGAGATGTGGAAGCATAAGCTAAATAAACTTAGAAGCTATGTATAATAGTATGTCCCCACTTATTTCCCCATCAGGAAATAAAAATTACTGCTCTACCAACAGGGCCGCCATCAGAAATTGTGGGCCCCCTAACACAGCTCAAGGTCTGCGGCCCCAGGTGCCCGCCTCCAAATCCCACCCACAGGAATACACACACACAGACACAAAAGGACACAGACACACACACAGAAAGATACACACATACACACAGACACAAATACTGAAACAGACACATACACATACAGGCATACAGACACACACACATATACAGAAACATACACATGCAAAGGGAGATACATATACACACATACTGACATACAGACACACACACTGACGTACATACATACTAACATACTGACACACACACATACAAACTGACATAAAGACATACATACATACACATAAATACATACTGACATACATACATAATGGCATACATACACATACATACAGACATACACACACATACAGATAGATATATACATACACAGATACATACAGACATACTGACATACACACACACAAACATACATGCATACTGACATGCATACACACATACATACTGATAGATATATACATACATACACAAATACATACTGACATAGACACACAGACATACATACTGACATATATACATACTGCCATACACATACAGATACGACACACACACAGAAATACATGCATACAGAAACACATACACACAGACATATATACATACTGACACACACACACAGACATACATGCATACTGACATATATACATACTGACATACACACACACCTCATTTATCAGCCACCCTCTTCCTTACCTTTTTGTTGCAGGAGGGTGGCTGGGGATGATGGGAGCGGATGCATTTCCTCGTCTGTCTCTCCCCCCGCGTGGAGTAAGCTGGGAGGAAGTGACCGTCCGTCACTTCCTCCCAGCAGCACTCGCGGTGCAGCCGCAATTTTTTTTAAAGGGGACTGGTCGAGCTATTGTACAGCCGCAGCTCTGACCGGGCCCCTGAAGATATAGGGCCCATCGGGTGGCCCTGAGTGCTTGGGCCACCTGACTGGCCCTGGTGCAGATGTACCTGCGGCAGTTTTGCTGCTCCACGTGGGGGCCGGGCCCCTGACAACCGTCATGGTTCTTACCCCCTGATGGCGGCCCTGTCTACCAACCAACCTCTCCCTAATAATGGTGGGGACATCAATTAGATTGAAAAAATACATACCAACAGAAGTCTTCTTCATTTTAATTCTTCTTGTCTTCAACCCTACAAAAAGCCAAAGAAAAATCTTGAAGCCACTAATTAAAATCAAATAACATTCCAAAAAATAAAAATAATTGAAAAAGAATGAAATGAAATGAGCTCTGATAGCAGGAAAAGAGACGTCTCGAGTCCTTTCCCACCTTTAAAGTCTTTTGGCCTGGATTTTCAACATCCGGCCCAGATCTTAGCTATCCATCGGTCTTCAGTCCAAAAATAAAATAATTTAAATATGGAACAAATTCCGGCCCATTCGGTGCTTGATTTACAAAATCTGGACACTGTTGTCCAAAAGGTCCCACATGCAGACATATGGTTTTGCCCCATCAGTACGGGGCCATTTGTACTTTAGTGAATAATCCCATAAGTGTTTTTTTCACTCTTTAAACATGTTAATGAATTAATATAAGTGGCTTGCCCTAATTTTATTGCTTAGACTTTTGGCAGGTGCATCATATCAGAAAACTATTTTCAATCATTTTGAAAGTCTAAAATAAGTGAACTAACGCTGCATGTTAGTGTTAATACTGTGTTCTTGAAAACTACATAAAAACCCATGTAATGACACCATTACTAGTAAACATTACACACAGCCTGCACTCTGATCCGGTTTCGCCCCCTCTCACACCCATCTGCACTCCCCCTGTTTACGTCTGCATTGCTATTTGTAACTCTTTAACCTAACACTGAACAACACAGCTAAACATACGTTAAGTTCATTGTAAATGTATAGATAATGTTTCATGCTATGTTGAAGAATGTTGAACAGGGAAAGGGGCACTCCAGCTGGAGCCAACATTTCATCATACAAATAATGTATTAAGACCTGTGTATTTATAATTTAAAAAAGAAAAATGTAAAAGTAAAAAAAAATTATTTTTTTTTTAAAAAAGATCCTCACCTCTGAGTTTCCTGTATTTGCAAAACCCAACATTGATATGAGAAAGTGTTGCATGTTACAGTAAAAGACGTTTGCCATCCCACAGTCAGTGAGTGCCAGGATAAAAGGTCGCCAACCAGGTCGCCAAATACACCATTCTCTCCCCTCTAAAATCAGAGCGTCTTGTTTACATATATATTTGGACTGCGGACTCACTGATTCCTTTTGCTTTTGTTTTGTTTTTCGGTTGGGCAGAATAATAACCAAATTTAGCTATATGTTTGAATATGGTACGTTTGGTAGCTATACTTTTGCTCTTGATACAATTGGTTTGCAGTATCTTGCACTAAGCAGTCTAAAGAGCAACTGATACTTGATAGCCTTCCTATATTTCCAAAGGGACGGCAAGTCACATTCCCTAAACTCCTGACGGCCATGCCTTATCAACAGCTCCATTCATGGTTTGTTTGTTTTTTGTTTTTTATGAATAGTGCTATTAATATCCATGTGACTCCAGAAAGACTTTCATATATTTACGCTTTATTTGCTGTTTGAAAATGGTTTAACCCTAGAAGGTAAGACTCCAGGCACCATAACTACTTCATTGATATAAAGTGGTTATGGTGCCCAAGGTGGTCATTTAAGCTAATACCCCAATGACACTGGCACTGAAATACTAACTATAGTTATAATATTAATCCAATATTAAACTCACATGAGCAATCATTAGGCTAAGCCCTGCCAAAACATATTAAAATTGGATGTCCTTCAATCCAATTGTACAATTTTAAATAAGATTATTGAAAGATGATTTTTAAAAAAAAATTATGTAAATAAAAGTTACATTTTATTATTTTTCATATTTAACCACAGTATATTCTAATCTTTAAATTTACTTAAAGCTAAATCCCATGATCTGGTGGTGGACCCTCGTATGTTCAGACTCTATCTGTTTGCTCTTTATAAATATTTTTATATATTTATCAGATGTTAACTACATCCTGCAGGGGAGGTCTGCATTGCCTTGGAGATAATAACCTGTCATTGTGAGTTTATACTCTCAGTGACAAAGTTGTCATAAATCAGTATACTTGTTAAATGCATGCTTTACCCCCCAAAAACACTTTAAATTGAGATTTATAATAATAATAATAATAATAATAACAAAGTATTTAACCAGGAAAGGTACATTCAGATTACTCTGGTTTTCAAGAACATCCTGGGGATGTTACCTTAGCCCAACATCTAGGGGCTCATACAAATGCATTTATAGTTATTAATTTCCCTCCTACCCCCACAGACCCACAATAATTGCCCCCTACACACATGCACACTCTGCCCTCCATATACACACACTGCCCCCACACACACACTGTACCCTTTACACACACAAACACACACACTGTACCCGTCACACACACACACACACACACTGTACCTCTCACACACACTGTACCCCTTTACACACACTGTACCCCTCAAACACACCATCCCCACACACACACTGTCCCCACACACATACTGCCGCCCTCAAGCACACTCACTGTACTCCTTAATACACACTGTACCCCTAAATACACACACATACTGCCCTCTAATACACAAACGCTGTTATGATTACCCAATTTAATGGTACTCATTTTATCTACCTCGGAAGAATTAAGGGCTGAGTCAACCTTGCTGGGATTATGAACCTGCCACCCAAGGGTTGAGCAGGTTCTACTGATGATGCAGTAGCCCACTATTTTACCATCCTTGTTTGTGTTTCAAAGCAAATATTTGTGATTGGAGTCTCTAAATGTGGGCTATTATTGGAACAGTATTACCCTGTTTCACCAGAGAGAAGGAAATACTCACATGCATTATTACAGGGGGAAAAGGGGGTGCAATTGCTCCCTCCCCTAGATTATGCCTATGCCCCCTATACCCACTACAGCCCCTATCCCCCTTGCACCCAATATATCTCTTATTTCCATGCACCCACTACAGCCCATATCCCCAAAGCACACACTAAAGCCCCTATGACCCTCTGCCCCTATTAACCCTAATTTTCACTGCACCCATTGAAGCCCCTTATCCCCGCTGCACCCACTGAAGCCTGTATTGCCTACTACAGCCCCTACCCCACTGCTCCCACTACATCGCCTATCCCCCTGCATCCACTAAAGCCCCTATCCCAGCTGCAAACGCTACAACCCCTATTAACCGCTGCACCCACTAAAGTCTCTATCTCCCTGCACCTACCACAGCCTCTATACCCCCTTCCACTACTACTACTAGGATTTAGTGGTGGAAATTATGAGTACCTCCACCATTTGACTGTTGTATCTTATGTGTTCCCCCTAAACCTTGTTCCTAGAGTTGCCACTGAAAATAATATACACATTTCAGTGCAAGCAGTAAAAAACAGACAAATTGTGTTCATGTCAAGGGAAACTTTATTTGAGAATAATTAAGTAATACAACAGTGCAAAACTATAACAGAAGGAATTTTAAAGGAGAATAATCATCGGTGCTTGTAAAAATGCAAACAACCCCAAATGCTTTGTTTTACACGTTGTTGGTTCTGCTATAATGCAACACACAGATACACTCACGACCCCAGATGGCACAATAGGGCAGACATGACACATGTACTTAACACTCCCCCTCCCGCCTCCCACCTCGGGACCCTACGAAAGGGCTCAACTAATACCCTAGACTAGGAGGGCAGAACGGGCTATACACACATACAAGCTCTCTTATACACATTAAGCTGACACTACGTCCGCAATAAGCAGCATTCGTCAGCCGCATACTACATGCCTGACCATATACGACCACTGCTAGGACGCACACAAGTCAGTCTCATACAACTAGCATACTAATTGTGACAACTGATTTGATACAACGATTTTACAACTATCGCTAAGACAACCACTATAAGGATTGACACATACCTATTAAATCCATCGTTACTCTACTGTTTACTGTGCATTGGGAGAAAAAACAAACCTTCGTGCTAGATCTCAGTAGCCCAAACATCAGGCATTACAGCATGACAACAATGCCACTAAATTCTACTTTTAGCCTAACACATGCCTGATGTCTAGCGAGGAGAACTGCCCACACGCTTAAGGGCTAGTTAATGCAGCATGAGTTAACCCTTGTTTTATGTTTAGTATGTTATTACAACGCAGTAAGTTAACATATATATTCAGCCTGTTAACGCTACACCTGTTTAAGCCTAAAAATATGTACAGTCCTCATGAAAATGCTCTTACACTACAGGGAGTGCAGAATTATTAGGCAAGTTGTATTTTTGAGGATTAATTTTATTATTGAACAACAACCATGTTCTCAATGAACCCAAAAAACTCATTAATATCAAAGCTGAATATTTTTGGAAGTAGTTTTTAGTTTGTTTTTAGTTATAGCTATGTTAGGGGGATATCTGTGTGTGCAGGTGACTATTACTGTGCATAATTATTAGGCAACTTAACAAAAAACAAATATATACCCATTTCAATTATTTATTATTACCAGTGAAACCAATATAACATCTCAACATTCACAAATATACATTTCTGACATTCAAAAACAAAACAAAAACAAATCAGTGACCAATATAGCCACCTTTCTTTGCAAGGACACTCAAAACCTGCCATCCATGGATTCTGTCAGTGTTTTGATCTGTTCACCATCAACATTGCGTGCAGCAGCAACCACAGCCTCCCAGACACTGTTCAGAGAGGTGTACTGTTTTCCCTCCTTGTAAATCTCACATTTGATGATGGACCACAGGTTCTCAATGGGGTTCAGATCAGGTGAACAAAGAGGCCATGTCATTAGATTTTCTTCTTTTATACCTTTCTTGCCAGCCACGCTGTGGAGTACTTGGACGCGTGTGATGGAGCATTGTCCTGCATGAAAATCATGTTTTTCTTGAAGGATGCAGACTTCTTCCTGTACCACTGCTTGAAGAAGGTGTCTTCCAGGAACTGGCAGTAGGACTGGGGGTTGAGCTTGACTCCATCCTCAACCCGAAAAGGCCCCACAAGCTCATCTTTGATGATACCAGCCCAAACCATTACTCCACCTCCACCTTGCTGGCGTCTGAGTCGGACTGGAGCTCTCTGCCCTTTACCAATCCAGCCACGGGCCCATCCATCTGGCCCATCGAGACTCACTCTCATTTCATCAGTCCATAAAACCTTAGAAAAATCAGTCTTGAGATATTTCTTGGCCCAGTCTTGACGTTTCAGCTTGTGTGTCTTGTTCAGTGGTGGTCGTCTTTCAGCCTTCTTACCTTGGCCATGTCTCTGAGTATTGCACACCTTGTGCTTTTGGGCACTCCAGTGATGTTGCAGCTCTGAAATATGGCCAAACTGGTGGCAAGTGGCATCGGCAGCTGCACGCTTGACTTTTCTCAGTTCATGGGCAGTTATTTTGCGCCTTGGTTTTTCCACACGCTTCTTGCGACCCTGTTGACTATTTTGAATGAAACGCTTGATTGTTCGATGATCACGCTTCAGAAGCTTTGCACTTTTAAGAGTGCTGCATCCCTCTGCAAGATATCTCACTATTTTTGACTTTTCTGAGCCTGTCAAGTCCTTCTTTTGACCCATTTTGCCAAAGGAAAGGAAGTTGCCTAATAATTATGCACACCTGATATAGGGTGTTGATGTCATTAGACCACACCCCTTCACATTACAGAGATGCACATCACCTAATATGCTTAATTGGTAGTAGGCTTTCGAGCCTATACAGCTTGGAGTAAGACAACATGCATAAAGAGGATGATGTGGTCAAAATACTCATTTGCCTAATAATTCTGCACTCCCTGTATAAAATTGCTTCAGACCATTTCTCTGACGAGAGCAAAGTCGCGACGAAGCCAATCTACACACGGGTTAAGCCTTACCCAGCAAAGACCCTAGCAGGATCGCTACCACTACTATAACCCACATCGTATTGCTAAGCTACTGTTAACTTATATAATTGTGAAACCTCAGTTTTATGCATGATTATCTCATCATATTAAAAAGTGCAATGTCCTTGAAGCCACATGAACAACTGTGAATGAAAAATGTTGGCACCAGCTTTTGTGGCAGTGCCACTATTATCAGAGGTGGCTTTAGACTTTATGAGGCCTTAGGCAAAACTCAAACATGAGGCCCCACTAACAAAAAAGTGTCACATATACACATTGATGCACAGTTTACCTGTGTATGTGCCTGAGAGTGTGTCTGACAGAGAGTATCCTTGTGTGTGAATGTATGTCTCTGTGAGCATGTTTGCGTTTTTGTCTGAGACCCTATGTGTATGGGGTAGCTGTTTGAAGTGTGTTGTGTGTATGGGGGGGTGATGGTGAGAAGGAGAGGCGGGTGATGGTGAGAGGCGGGTGATGGTGACAGGGAGGTGATGGTGTGGGGGGTGATGGTAATGTGAGAGTGAGGGGGTGTAACATGAGAAGGAGGAGGGGTAATGTGAGAAGGAGGAGGGGAGGTAATGTGAGAAGGAGGAGGGGGTAATGTGAGA